GGGAGATCAGAGCATTGCGCGCAAGCCATGGGCTAAAGAAACCAGGGGCAAACTGGAATGCGACCTCTCGGGACGTCGCCACCTCACAGTTTGTGCCGTTCCTTTGGGGTTATTGGTGCGAATCCCAGGTTTCGGTCCGGGAATGCCTGGCTTTTGGGATAGCTCCCTACTTGCGTCCGCACGTCCGGCGTGCAGAGTCAGAGCCGCAAACGGAAGGATCAGAACGGGTGGAAGTGTATGAGGAAAGGGGATGACCAAACCAAAAAGGGTACCCTCCCTCCAACTCGGTCACTCTCCTCCGTCATACATCAGATAATCCTAGCTTTCAAGGACTTCTATCCCTTGCACGCCACCTAACGAAGAATTCCGGTGACGAGACAATAAGATAAGATCCGTTCCTTTCCTAATGCCCTTTCTCTTTATAATATTTCCATCTTTCCTGTTGACGAAGCAATCCAAAAAGCGAGGAAACAAGAAAGAGAAAGAAGCTCACAGAGACTCACCTATAGACACAGCATATGATTGAGGATTTTCCGGTAGAAATCTCTTGATTAGGAAAAATGATCCTCAATCCAATGCTTGTTCTTTCCTTCTCTCCGTCTCCTCCCTATCATTGACGGAGAGAATCCTAAAGGTAACAAATAATCCTGGAAATCGAGGGAGATGTCGTAAGTTGTTTTTATGATAATGCTTTTATTTGTGGTCTCTTTCTTTTATCTTAGAATTTGTTTTTTTTATTGTTGGCATATCTTCAAGAACAGGATATGAGTCTTTATGGAAAGGCTTGAATGGATTACGAATGAAGTTGTGGTCAAAAGTCTTTATTAATAGCCACAGAAGGGAGAAGAAGAGACTCACCTTAGTCCCACTCCCCGCTTCATTCCTCATCTCTTCGTCATAGCGGGCCACGTCCTATCCACATCACGCCTATCCCATTCTTCCTTGTCCTTCCGTCCAATCCAGAATGTAACCAAAATGAACGACTTTAGGATGTGAATGAAGGTGACATGAGGAAGAGGAAGGTAATGGCTGACAAGAAATCCATCCTTCATTCACCCACCTGTCAGCTCTTGGAATCGCATGCCAAACAAACATGGCACCTGTGCGAGGGTACCTAGAAGAGCATGTTCCTCTTGTAGGGCCCCAGTCAGGTGCCACGTTAGTGGGAGGGTGGGTACTTTCACCCAATGAAGCTACCGCCCTGTCAAACATGGACCGCGCATCCCGCGGCCGGAAGCGTCTTCGCAGGAGCTGGATCTGGCTGCAGACGGCGGCTGGAAGAGGCGACAGAACGAGGAGACGCGGACCGCCGGGCTGCGGACAAGGGGGCTGGTCGGGCCATAGAAAGCGGTTCAGAGCCGTTTTACCACCCCCCAAAAAAACAAACAAACACAAAAACACGATTTGACCGAAGAGTCGGTTGGCCCAAGCCTGTCACCCAGCTTCATAAGAGGGGGAAAAGGGCAAAAGCTGTAGGTGCTTGAGCATCAGCTTGCTTTCGGAAGAAACCGTCGCAGGGTGAATCCACCCGTAGGCGGGGTCTTGATCCGGTTGCACGGCGCCAGCGGAACTGGGCTTTCTTCTCCACATATCTCCACCCCCGAACATTCTTTTTTCGAAGGGAAGGGCGGGGCCCAAAAACAGCAACACCTTAGGAGCGTTTTTCCCTGTGGCGGAGTCCACGGATTCTGTTTGATTATGGCCTTCCAGATCTCCAGAACACTTGACTAGGTCCCCCAGTAGTGCCCTTTTACCCTTTTTGGGGGCAGGGTTCCCCTACTGAAATAGACAGAAAAAAGTTAGTACCCTTATTCTAACCTCGCTACTGGAGGACCTAGGTGAGCTTGCTTTTTGAACCCCTGGCCTTCAGGAGCGCCTCATGCGGACTGAACCTCAGGCGTTTTGTTTTTCTTTTCTTTTTGTTTCCGCGCGAAGTGCAATGGATTGCTTTCACCCAAGCGCACCAAAAGACAAGAAGTACGTCCCGCAACATTGGAGCTCCGGTTTCGTCTCCATTGTGCTTGTTGCCATGACAGCCTCATCCAATTTGCGGCCCCAGAACGCCTCAGCAACAGTCTTCCAGCACATGCTGGCCGTGTGTATGTGCGTATGTGTCTTTGCTTGCTTGCTTGCTTGCTTGCTTGCTTGCTTGCTTGCTTGCTTGCTTGCTTGCGTGCTTGCTCGCTTGCTTGCTTGCTTGCTTGATTGTTTCTTCATTTCGTTGGCTGTGTATCTTTGGTTATGTGTTCTCTATGTTGTGTGCCTGTTATGGTGTGTAATGTTCTTATGTATGTTTTGATTTCGTCTGTTGCATTTGTTGTGTTCTTTTTTGTTTAATGTCCTGCCTTTGTTCTTTATTTAGCTTGTTTATGTATTTGTTTATTTACGGAGTTATTTACTTATTTGTTTATTTATGCATTTATTTGTTGCATTACTTCTTGATGTCCTTCCTTCCTTTGTTCCTTATATAGTTGTGGTTTCTTCAGTTGTCTAAATATGTATCTGTGTTTGCCCTGTTTTGGCTGTCTTTTATATTTACGTATGGTTGTATTTCTTTCTCTCTTGCCTTATTCCTTCCTCTCCTTCATTCCTTCTTGTTTGTCTTGCTTGTTTCTTTAGATATTTGTTTCATTGTTGTTGCTTCTATGCTTCTTTATTTATTCGTAATTTTCGTTATTGCTTTCTTTTTGTATTTCCTCACATTTATCTTTACGGATGTCCTTATTTGTGTATTTCTTCCTTTCTGACAGTATGTCTGTATTTAATTATACGTTTATTTGTTTCCCTCTTGCTTTCCTGTTTGTTGCTTTGTTTAGTTATTTGTTTCTTTTCCTTCCTGAATTCCTTCCTTCCTTCACTTTTTCTTGTTTTGATCTTTCTTCGCTATTTCTCTATTTGTTCTTTCTTATTTAATACTTTCTTTATTGATGTCCTTTCTTCGGTGTTCCTTGTTTATTTATGTATGTTATTGTGTGATTTATTGATTTAATTTCAGATTTTCTTGTGTTGTTGTTATGTCTTTCCATCTGTCTTTCTGTCAGTCGTTCTTTCTTGCCTGTTTCCTGTATTTTGTTTCATTATATCTTTATTTCTTTCTTTCTTTCTTTCTTTCTTTCTTTCTGTCTTTCTTTCTTTCTTTCTGTCTTTCTTTCTTTCTTTCTTTCTTTCTGTCTTTGTTTCTTTCTTTCTTTTTTTTGTCTTTCTTTCTTTTTTTGTCTTTCTTTCTTTCTTGCCTTCCTTGCTTCCTTCTTTCTTGGTTTATGTCTTTCTTTGTTATGTACTTCTTCATGTTTTGTGTTTATTACGCTGTGTCATGTTTTTTGTGTCCCTTTAATTGTTGTCTGGTTTGTTGTTTATGTCTTTATTTCTTTCTCGCCTTATTTCGTCACTTGGTTGCCCTCCTCTGTTAATTTGCCCCTGCGTGTCTTTCTGTTTTTTATGTCTTTCTTTATTCTCAATTCGTGTCCTTCCTATTTCTTTATGTATTTCTTTATGCTGCTTCCTTCTTCATGTTCGTTCTTCCCTTCATACTTCCTGGTGTTATTTCCTTCCTTTCTTCTTTCCTTCCTTCCTTCCTTCCTTCTTTCCTTCCTTCCTTCCTTCCTTCCTTCCTTCCTTCCTTCCTTCCTTCCTTCCTTCCTTCCTTCCTTCCTTCCTTCCTTCCTTCCTTCCTCCTTCCGTCGTAATTTATATGTTTTTCGTTTTTATTGCCTGAATTATTTACTTCTGTCTTTCCTTTACGTCTTGATGTCTTATTGTTTATGTTTGTTTGTCGTGTGGGTGTCTTTGTTTATGTCGCTCTTTCTTTCTTGTTTCATGTCTTTTTCGTGATTTACATATGTCAATCTTTATGTGTGCCTTTATCTCTTTCTTTATGGCCTTCTTTATTTCCGTCATCTCGTCCTTCTTTGTTTATCTTTATTCTTTATGGTTTTATTGTTTGTTTGCTTTGTCAATGATTTCCTTCTTGTTTTCTTTCTGTGTTTCTTTCCGTCTTTTGTTGTTTGGTTTGTTTTTCTTTCTTTCGTCATGGTCATGTTCCCCGTTTTTTTTGTTTTTTTTTTGTGTGTGTGTGTGTTATTTTGTTTTGACATGTTCTTTCTGTATGTTGTTCTTTCCTGTCTTGCTGTTTTCATGGCTTTGCTAGGTGCTGTCTTTCACGATTGATTCATGTCTTCCGTGTTTGTCCTTCCTTTCTTTACTCCTTCCTTTTTCTTACGTTATTTCTTTCCGTCGTTTTCCTTCTGCTTTTGTTTTGTGTGTTGTTCATTGTTGTTTCTATTGTCCGTCTTTAGTGTTTATATATATATATATACATATTATTTGTATCTATTAATTGCATTGGTTCACTTCGGCCCTTCCCTATGTTCGGCTATGAATTATGTTGTGTGTGTTTAAGTAGTTATGTCATTTGTTCTCACTTCCTTGCTTTCTCTATTGTCTTATTCGGTTCTTTATTTCCTTATGTTCTTTCTTTATTTTTATTTTATTTCTTTGCTGTTTGTCCTTCTTTCTTTATGTTTGCGTTTTGTCTTGACTTCTTCCTGCTTGTTTGTGGTTGTTTGTTTATCATATGGGGTTTCACACGCTGGGCCAAGTACAGCATGCAGCTGTGTCACTTTCGCTTCGCGGCACGCAATGCTCGTGTGAGGGTGAGAGTAGGGGTCGATGTTTCACGATGAGAGCCCAATCTCTGCCTTCTGCAAAAGAGTAGGGTGAAGTGAAGCATTTACTTACACCCTGAAAGAGGTTCAGTTGCTCTTGGATTCCTGTTCTATTGCCGGCTGCAAGGTATACACCTCTCATTGTCAATGGTGGAACTCAGATGTGGGTGTGTAAACCCTTGGTGGTTGGTTTTGATGGGGCACCAAAACGAAACCAGCCATGTTGGGGGGTCACCTAAAAGACGACACACCCATGTGCAACTTTGCACGTCAGACGGTCAGACGGTCAGAACAGCTTCGTGCGGCCCGGTCTGCGGGTTTCGCCTTGCACCCAAGGCCAAACTTCAGGACGAGCACAAGGGCGAAGCCCAAGATGTTCTCGGACGAGCTGGCCTCAGAAACAGGTCTCGTGTTCCATCCGGTGCATTTTGCCAAGGGCTGTTAGGACTTGGATATTTTGCCAACTAATTGGTTTCCTTTAAACCACTAGAAGTTAAACTATTAGGAGGGGAGCAGAAAGCAACCGAGGTTTGAGGAGGGGCATTAGCACTAGTACCCCTCACGAAAAAAACAACATTAGGAGGGGCATTAGCCCTACAGTAACCCTCAAGGGGAGAAACCAAAAAAAGCAAGCACGAAGCTGCCGATTTTTTTTGAGTACCCAACATGGAAGTGCACAGACCCGTTCTGGAAGACGACTGTCAATGTTGTCGGGGAATTTGGTCTCAGGTGGCCTTTAGAGGTGTTCTGTTAGCTCGAACGGTGAGCAACGGAGCGGCCCATGGAAGGTGTTTAATGGACACCTACAGGAAACCAGCCATTGCAGTGGTTCCCTCATACCTCCGTGTGTGTATATATATTTACTGTATGCACATATCTGATATATATATATATAGACATACATCCCATATTTATATATATAGAGAGAGATGAACGTAGGTATGTCGCTCTTATATTTCACTCGTAGGTCAGGTCCACTACACAAAGGGGATCGATAATTTGTTTGCACGCCGGGCACGCCAATCCAATTTTGGCGAACCATACCCAGCCCTGTCTCGACCCTGGTTTCACATTGTGCCAGTTGCTCAGTGAGACCCTCCTTGGTCCCCCAGTAGTGGCCTTTTACCATTTTTTGGAGGAGGGTTCCCCTACTAAAACTACAGAAAAAAAGGGTACCCTTATTCTAACCTCTCTACTGGAGGACCTAGCCTCCCTGCCAAAAGCAAACCCGGAACCTGCACAGCGACCGGTCCTTGAAGGAAAATGTGGGTTTTCCAGCTGTGCAGGTTCATGTTTTTGTTTTCTTCCGATGATGAACTTCCGAAAGGTTGTTGAGTCCTTAGGCGGCTGTCCAGATTCAATGTTTGTTTTGGGAGGGTATCCTTTTTTCTTTCTTTCTTTTTTCGATGAGGAACCCCTGAAAGGTGTTTGAATCCTTAAGCGGCTGTGTAGGTTCAATGTTTGCTTCTTGGGAGGGTATCCTTTTTCTTTTGTCCGATGAAAACCCCCCGAACGGTGTTTTCCCCTTTCTCTATGACTGCAACCGGGTGCTGCCTTTCCTTCCCGGCTGAAAAAGAACGCCACCAAGCCCGCCATGTGAGGGGTCGGAAAAATGGAGCCTTGGGCACTCATTTGAGACCGCGGTCAGAGGGCCCTATGTTCACCAGGGTTACTCAAATGTTCGCTTGAAGTTTCAAGAAGCGCATCCCAACCTGGGAAGGAAACCACAAGAGGGTGCAGTCTTATATGTGGCCAACGATCTTTGAACCTCCCTTGCCACATGAAATTGCCCAGAACTAGTTCTCTACCCTCCAGGTTTGCCGAGAAGCAGCCCCGCCTAATTTCCATTGGCTAAAGAAGAACACATTTGATCTTTTTCTTTGGTTTCACAGGGAATCTAGCACTAGCGGAGTTTCGTAACCCTTCGTCTTTTGCCTAGTTTGTTTGTTGGTTGATGTGTTGCTTAGGTGATGTTAGGCGGTTTGGATGTTCAGTGGCACGTTTCCCATTTGGTGTTTTGAAGGAAAGAACAAAATAGTTTGGTAACCCTTGGTGTTTTGGTTCGGTCTTGGTTTAGACGTTGGCACGTTTCCCATTTGTTTTTAAAGGAAGTGTTCAACAGGGCTCCTCAAAAGATCTCCACTTTGCAAAACCATTTGAAACATGTTGCTTTTTCAACCCAGCAAAATAAAGTTGGAAACCGGCATTTACCAGTTGCAATGTTCAGGCTCGTGTGTAATGCATCCGGATCCCTGTTTAGCTTTCCACAGGTCCCCAGCGATTCAGCGATTCGAGGTTCCACTCCTGGGAACCTCGGAATCCGCGGCCCGGGAGCTTGGGCCATCGGCCGCCTCGACGCAAGCGAAAAAAATACAGAAAACCGCGGAAAACAAAAAAAAAGATCAAGTAAACAACAGGGTCGTAAAATGAGGGTCGCCCCCTAAAAACAAGTAAACCATGCTGAACCACGAAAAACTAGGCAACAAACAACTGCAGCAGGTGTGCAGTGGCCTGCGCTCATCAACTAAGACATTGTGCCTCGTAGGTTGTGATGCATTTGCAAGAGAGCGGGAGTGGGAGAGGGGGAAAGAGAGGAGAAAAACAGGAGAAAGAGAGAGGAAAGAGAGGAGAATTACGTGAGTTTCGAGGGTTGCCTGGTTCCCGTGCCTTCAGCCGGATCTGGAACCAAGTTGCCTTGGACCTGACACCTGGCAATTGGGAGTAAGGGTCTCAGGTCTCATTGGGTCTCTGGGTTGGATGTTTGGGCAAAGACCTACTCAGCCACTAGGCCAGGAGTCGAACCCATGGAGCCCTGATTTCTGGGACTCTCAATTGAGGGCTGCGGGCAGCTGAAACTTTAGATCCCAGACAGAGGTTGAACTGCTTTTTTTTCGCGCACCACATCCCATTTGATGCTGGCAAACCTGAGGGATTCATGTGATCTCACCAGAAAACGCATGCAGAGGCATGGCCTTTCCACAAACTTGTCTTTGGTGCATTTTGCTTGGATGCTAGGACTTTCACTTTTTGCCAACTAGTGGGCTTTCCATCAAACCACTGAAAGTTAAACTTTTAGCAGGGGAGCAGAAAGCAACCGAGCTATCGTGGAACTGTAGGGTGGCAGGAGGCACGAGGTGACCACCAAAGTGCCGGCGCAGAAAATCGCGGCCTCGGCCACGTGGCAAGTTGTTGGCACGTGTCGCCCTGGAGCTTTAGAGATGCTGCGAGGGGTGAACACATGAGTCTCCCGATCTTCATTTTTTTGAGAATTTAGACATCAGGTTTTGGGCAATGCTCGATTCATGCCAACCCCATATCAATCAATCTGATTCCCGGTTCACGCAGGGACACCCTTCATGAATCAACTGGGGTTGATTTTTTTGGGGTCAACAATAAGGTGCGGAGATACTTCCAGGGGACATGCAAGGACCCCTGACACCTGTACATTTGGCGCCTTAGGCTCCAAACCACCAACCCGAGACACTAACCCAACAAAGCTGAGAACATTCAGAGTTGCGGCCCGCTTGAACTCAGAACCACTTCGTTGCAAATGTGACATGTGGCCATGCCAAAAAGAAGATCAACAGACTCGCTTGTGGCCCAGTTCAGATTTGCTTTTGCCACCCCCTTGAGGTGACCTGGTACATCAAGCACGGCACCTCCACAGACAGCTAGCCCAAGCGGTAGCTCTAGAGCGAGCAAGCCCCAGGGCTTGGCTGAAGCGTGCTGACTGACAGAAGGCTCAAGGGAACTTGCCCGGCGTTCTGACATGGTCGATATCAAAAGAGTCTCTTTGGTGCATTTGCTTGGATCTTAGGACTTCAACTTTTTACCAACTAATGGGCTTTCCATTAAACCACTAAAAATAAAAGTTAAACTTTTCGCAGGGGAGCAGAAAGCAGCCCAGGTCTTACTCACCACACAATTTTGTTTTGCAGCAGCCTCTACATCGCTGGGTTTGAGACCCACTAAATATCATCACTCCGAAAAAAAGTGTCCCATTCTTTGCCCGAACAACTGGGCAAACTGGGATGCTGCGAGTGTCCAGACATGCCAGCACGAATGGATGGAGGATAGAACGAGAAAGAGATAGCACTGGTTTTAACTCTCTTCCTCGTTCTCTCGTCTATTCATGATGACTGAGAGATGAGACCCATTCCTTTCCATTCCTTTGAAATGTTTCAGGGATGAACCGGAGGTAAGAGATGGGATGAGAGAAGCTGGAGAAATCTGGTAGGGCAAAACTGGTTGGAAGGCAGCCACTAGGGTCTGTCAGCACCAAGCTCAAGTCTCACCTGGCGAGGTTGCTTGCACCCGCAAGGCAGGTCCTCGTTCGACACGAGTCCAGTCAGGATTCGGGAAATCGGCTCTGCGTGAACGCCCGGGCCGTGGAACCCCAGAGAAGCCTCGATGGGACTCGGGGTGTCTTGGTTTGAGGGTACCCGTTTTGGGGCCGCCTCGAAGGGAAGCAATCAGGAAACCACCTATTTTGGGGGCCCTTGTTTTGAGACAGACCCAGGTGATGTTCGACTAAGAGGGGCGGAACATGGCAGGGGTTGGCCCGTTGGGCCCCTGCCAGATGCAAATTGCACGATGCGCTTTTAAGCAGTTGCGTGTAGATGCCGAAGGCAAGCTTCTGTGCCCGGCAAAGCTGCGGAGGCTGCAAAGAAGCAGCCTGCACACTTTGCACGTGTCACCCTGGCTTTTTTCTGGGCCTTTGCTTGACCAAACCGGTGGCAAAAAAAGAAATGCAGCCCGCCCGCGGTATCCGAATAGGGAACTGAAGCACACGTTCAAAAGTAATGAGCCGTGAGTCGACTTCGTGAGAGGTTCGTGGGTGGGGATTCCTTGGTTCCCGGGGTTGTTTTGCTTGAGTCACTGCCAGGCCTTTGGGCGAAGAGGCCTTGAAGATTTAGGCGCTGTGAGGCATGTGTGCTTGGGTTTGCGCCTGCATCTCATGATATCTCATGCAGTGGTTTCAGGAATCTTGGGCCGTTGCAATTTCGCCCGGATATTTCATCGCGCTGAACCTGATGGCTTAAGGCATGGAGCGTTGCAGGAAATAATCCAAAGTCAAAATCGTGTTCACACACGCACGTCTCACCCGAACCGTATCGCATGGATTCGGCGAAAGGCCTAGGTGTGAAGAAGCGCGAGCATGACCTAACCGGCAGCGCGTCACATTGATATAAGCAATTTGTAGTTGACAACACCGCTGGTTTCTTGGGCAGATAGTGGGAACCAACCAAGTGTTGTTGTCAGTTTTCTGGGGCTATCCACAGGTCAGGAGACTCGATGACCTCTATGGGGAGACGGGCCAAATGGTAGCTCCTTGCACCAAGTCCATCCTCGAGATCTTTCAAGACTTCGATGCCAGGCACTTCAGCGGAAATTCCACCCTGGAAATGGCAGTGGTGGTCAAAACTGCTTTGGGATCCCATTTTGGGGTAGGTGAATTCACCGCCCATTTTCGGCTTTATTTTAGTGGGGATTGAGATGTTCACTGGGCGTACGGGATTTTGACCCATGGCCATGAGAAGGGTGTCCCTTGTCTACCTGGGCCCAGTGAAGGGGTTCCCCCAAAGCCAAGCCCCCAAATGCTGGTAAAGATCTTAAAGGGAAACCACCCCCAACGGTCATTAAAACAAACAAGTTCACTTTTAAGGGACCCACTCATGACGACCCTTGGGAAGTTGCATGATATAAATCGGGATGGACACGGTCAGCCAGAGGCAAAGCTGCAACTGGAACTGACCCAGGTGGGAACTAAAAGTAGCCCAGGTGGGACAAGACCTTGCAAAGGACGCAGCGCGTGTCGTTTTCTCTTCAGGTGGTTGTGTTTTGATGTGTGTTGGGAGAATCGGAAGGAAGCCCATCGGACCCATAGGGCTTGTGGACCCATGCCCAGTTGCCCCTTGTCCCTTCCTTTTTTTGGGTTGGGGGGGGGGGTCCGTATCTCTAAGGGCCGTTTCCAACCATCGTTCTTTTCGAACACCGGGCCGTTTCCCCGGGGTTTCCGGAGGTTTTCTAGAAAGAAGGATCCCTGAATGGGGAAGGGATCCCTGGAAAGAAAGGTACCGGTAGAAAACATGTAAGCTTTGGGGATTGGTTGACGCCTAGCAGCCTTGAGCTCTCTCCAGAGTTCAGCATGGGCTTCCGCTTTGTTTGTGGCTTCCTGGGCAGGCGCTGTGGCCGAATCGCCCAGAGCGATTTGGAGGCGGTGCTGCTGCGCATCTGCGGGGTGTCACGGGACCTGGCGGAGCAGTGGATTCAGAGCTCGGGGGCGGCGGAGCTCGAAGACGTGGACGCATGGCCTAAATGAGGGGCAACTTCTTTCAAGTTCCTAAAGGGAAACCAAAAGGGGATGGGACATGGAGTTTTGTTTGTCCAGCAGAAGTACCTTCCCTTTTTGACCTGTACTCTTGCACCACCACTTGGAGGGGAATTTGGAGGATGTCACTTTACAGTAATGGACACGGAAATGTCAACCATGTCTTTGGTTTTTCCGAAAGGAAGCCAGAAGGCAGCAGGTCATTTCAATTCTTCCAGATCTTCTCTCCCGCAATACGCCTCCCTGGTGTGGCAAGGTGTTCTGGAATCCGGTGTTCCCTTGGTGCGACCAACTCGCTTTGCAGTTTGTTTGTTGTTTTTCCGGAAAGTGCTGAATGTTTGGTTCAACTTGCATGTTCCGGACAGAGCCACTCAGCTTTGGTATCCTCCCAAATATCTTTATGTTCCACGGTAGGCAGACTTGTATGAAACGCAGACATCAGTTGTCTTCTTTAGGGGACCCCTTTCCCTTTCACCCCCGCCTCAAACAGAAAAAAACAAAACTAATACATAAATAAATATATATATATATATATGTGTGTGTGTGCATGTACATAGATATGTTAAACGGGTGCACTTCAAATAAAGCCACGCACGCAAATAGGTGTGCCAAGTCAGGACTATCGAATCTTCATGGCCTGGCTGTTCGAGGAAGAGAAGTCGAGAGCCGACACAGCTGAGAAGCTCTACGAGCGTGGCTTTTCTGTGCGGCAGCTTATCCAATTCGTAAGGCGCGCAGGGCACGGACCGCCCGACTCTTGTTGGAGCCAGGCCAAAGATTGATCTGTTTCACTTGTTGATCTTTTTTGGGGCGTCCTTGTTTTTCTCCTTTTAACCAGCATTTGGTGTTGTTTTTTGCAGGGGGTTCTAAGCTTCGTCAAGTTGTTGAAGCATGCTTGAACTTTGTTTGAACAGAGATTCCCTTTTTGCTTGACTGCATTGGGTCGTTAGACTTTAAGTGTGTGGGGAATGAGGAGTTTCCCATTACCAGCCAAAAGATTAGCTCTTCTTTCTTCTTCTTGTTCCTCGTTTTGTTTGGCTGGATGCTCGTGTCACACCGGTATCTCTACCAACCATAGCCATGCAGGAGCCAAAAGACCTTAGTTGCCCAAGGGGCAATGGCCATACAGTTGATGTCCGAGGGTCCCACTTGTTCCGTGGCGCCCCTGATGTCAGAGGAGTTCCCTTTGTCCAAAGGGGGCACTGGGCAACCGAGTTCCGTGCCCCGGGAGGGAGGGAGGGAGGGAGGGAGGGAGGGAGGGAGGGAGGGAGCCCAATTTCAGCCCCTTATCAAACCCTTAATGAGTTATCCCCTCCCCTCCCCACTCCAAAGAACAAATTCGCGGTTCCACCTGGAGGCGACACAGGTCCCTTGGCTTGCACGACTTGTCTCGGATGAGCACGGCGGATGTGGTCCGGGACATCGTGATTCCAGAGACCAAGGAGAGGCAGTGTGCCATTGCCAGAGTTTTTCCTTGTTTTGTTTCTCTTCATCTTTTGGGTTTTCCTCGCTTTTCCCTTACTGACAACCAGCAACAGTTAAACCTTGTCCAATTCAAGCTGCACAGTTAGTTGTTCCCTTTAAAGAACAAAAGATGCCATTCCGTTCCTTGCCCGCAACAGATGTCCCCGCAAAAAAAAAGTTCCCGAAAGAAACAGTTCAACACAACAAAAAAGGCCTCAAAAGATGCCACTCCGTTCCTTGCCCGCAACACTTGTCCCCCCCGAAAGAAAAAGAAAGAAAGAAAGAAGTTCAACCCAAAAAACTACTCAACAGATGCCATTCATGTCCCCGAAAAGCAACTTTCAACTTTCAAAAGGATGTTTCCCGGAAAAAAGAAGAAGTTCAACACACAAAAACACTCAATAGATGCCATTGAACACATGTCCCTTAAATCAACTTTCAACTTTCAAAAAGCGCTGGTCATTTTTGCAGAGACGCTGGGATCGCCCAGGTGCCATGGTGGAGCTCTTCGAAGGTGGCCCGCGAGAGCCCATGTGCCGCTCGGAACCGATTGGCGCGCCAAGTCGGCACCCCCTGAAAACCCCGGCGCCTGTTGACGGTCTCAAAGCTTCCATTTGCTGAAATGAATATGTTTTTATTATTATTATTATTATTATTATTATTATTATTATTATTATTATTATTATTATTATATGTTTCCCCCTGTTGGTTTTACAGGAAATCTATCATGTTTGGATTCAGGCTGGTTTAGGGTTGATTCAGCTTGGTATATGTGGTTTCAGGGTTCCTTCTGCTCAAGTTAGGAGTGATTCAGGGTTCTTCCTTTTGTTCCGTTTGCTGAAATGATTTGTTGTTTTTGTTTTATCCCTGTTGGTTTCAAAGGAAATCGATTTCACTACTGTTTTTTTTTCCAGGGGGCTTAATTAAGTAAAGAAAATGGGTATGGACCAAACTGAAACCACCAGGAATTGGACCGCAGGTTTGAGTCATGGTTTGCATTCAGCAGGGTTCCATGTTTTGGTACCTGTTTTTTGACAGACACCCAAATCACTTTGCCCAAAGCAACAAACAATGACCTTTTGCTGATTTGGCTCATATTTTGTCATTGTCTAGGCTTTAATTGTCGGGTTTTTGTGGCCCCTTCGGGTGCTTGGCTTCCTTTCGGTTGCCCTCTCAAGTTTTGGCCAGGCAGCCTCCCTCGCCCAATGAATTTGGGTCCCAGAGGCGCAAGCTGCGGACGACACCTCGCCGAAATCATAGGCCAACAACTAGCCGCGCAGCGGTTCAAACAAATGCCCACATGGGATTTACCACGTTTTGCAAGAAATCGTGCCTACTCCCAACGCGGCCTTTTGCTCCTGCAGATTGTCTTCGGGCAAAGTGAGCGCCCGACTTCAGGCCAGAGAGATTTCCGGCAAAGACCCACAAACTGAAGAACACCTTGGCCAATTCGGGTATCAACTTGAGCCTTGAGCCCCCAAAACAGATGCTCCGAAACGCAAACCAAGCCTCCGAAAAGGCTCGGAGGAATCCTCCCCCCAAAAGCCCCCAAAGCGCCAAGGGACTTCGCTGTTCTTGGCATGTTTTTTGGTTTTTTAGTTTTTGGTTCTGCTCATTTTTACTGGGGGTCTGCAAAAAACAAAGTTTTTTGCTACCATACCAAGAGTAGAGATGGAAATGCAGAGCCGCGGAGGGCTGCAAGCAACTTTGCACGTCCCCAAAGGTTTGCCGAGCAAATTCGAGCAGGGCTTGAGGAAGGACCTTTCAGAAACCAGACACTCTACCTCGAGGGGGGGAAATGATGGAAAGTTCAAGCTTGATTTTGTTGAACATGAGTTCCCAAAATAGTGCTTGGGAAAATATGTTTGGGAACTGAATATATGACTTCGCTAAGCAATCACAGTTCAATGCCTCAGGGATGGCGCTCAAAAACGACCGCGCTTCTCCTAAAAGGGTCTGTCAGGATCGATGTTGGGATGAGCTTGGTGTTCTTCACTGGTGGCATGTGTTTAGGTTATGTTGTGTTTTGGTGTTGGTCATTTTTTGTAGGGGGCTGTAGAGTATGTTGTATTTTGCTACCATACAAAAGGTTGGAACGTATTGTTGATTGAACAATTGTTGCAACCCTTCCAGGCACTTTCTTACAAGGTTCTGAGAACCTTTCCTGTGTGTTTATGGGAGGGGGTTCCTTTGGTTGCCGTTTCCTCCCATAAATATATATATATATATACACATACATATGGCCGAGTCTTGTTGTGAGTTTTTTTCGTTTTTCTTTTTTTGTTTAAACAAACAACGATGGACCAAGAGGATCATCTCATTTTTTGCGGGGGTTCCCCCAAAAATAGTTAATAGGGGGCGTGTAGGGTAGGGTATTTTCAGTTCAGGGTTTCAGGGTTCAGGGATGAAATTAAACAACCAAACCATTTTGTTCAAAACACCAAGGGGGATTGTGGGGATTTTTTCTTTTATTTCTCAACATTTGTTTACATTTTGTCCATTGAATAACAGTCTAAGATATTGACATTTTCAAGGTTCGGGTTTCAGACAATTTTATGGCTTTCTGGGGATTTCAAGTGTTTAATAATATTATAAGATAATAATATTAATAAACTTAATCTGAATCACTATCAACAGTATCTCTATAATTAAACCATTCTATAATCAACCTTTTCTTTTCTAACAAATGACAGACGAATTTATGGTAAAACTCCTTATCAAAAATGTTTTTATAAACGACTGTGTCTTTGTTTTCTATATATTGCCATTTCAACATTTTAAGAAAATCTCTACACATTGAAATGTTAAAATTTCTACAAGATACATGTAGTTTGCAACGTGATGTATTTATCAACCATGTAAACCCCAATGCATGCATGTCTCACTTGTGCAGTCTCATCATTACGACTGCACGTGGCTCAAGGAAAAAGCGCGCTGAGTACAGGGTTCAATTGTGACCCTTCCCGGTTGTTTAACCTGTTCTATAGGTTATCAGCCGTAAGCGGCTCTTTGTACAGAGTTGTACGCCATGGATGGCGACCCTGGACTACCCCATACCGAGGTGCGTCCCACACCTGGTGAGCCAGCAGGCGATGAGGACGCCTCGCAATATGAACCGACTAGTCGAGCAAACTCCCAAGTGGCCAGGGAGCTCATCAGGAAGGGACAAGCACTGAGCAGTCAGGGCCCCGAATCACTCCGATCCCGGAGTGACCGTGGGAGGGCTGGGCGGTCTGGTGCTCGATCTCCTTCTCCTGTAGGATCAGATCGGCATCGGCATGGTGACATCGTCATGTACGACCCCCAGACCGACCTCGCAAGGGGAAACCCTATGCCACAGTCCATGAATCAGTTCAACCAACATGTTGCGAACGTCCACCTCGATCCATCAATGACGATCAACCAGGACGTGACGAATTATCAGCAGATCAACGCTACCCAGAACAATGCCCAATTCAACCAGTTCGTGAATCAGGACACCGGTCCCATGGTCGCCCAGCTGGCGGAGGCAAGGCATGGTGAGATCATTGCCGGTCTCCAAAGCCAGTCGGAGACCATGAGACGCGAGATTCAGATGAATGCGGAGCAGCGTGCGAACACCATGAAGTCAGAAAGAGAAGCCGAGATGAAGTACCAAAACGCCATGAACACGATCAGCGAGCAGGAGAAGCAGATCAGAGAGCTAAGGGCTATGGTCGAGCAGATGATGCAGAACCAACAGCAACCGCCTGCTCAACCTGCTCCAGCTCCTGCGCCTCCGGTTCAGCAGGCACCAGCTACCCCCTTGGCTATCCCGACAGTTCCTTTGGCTGCATCTCCACCCGGACTTTCGAATGCTTCCTCGCACAGTTGGACGAAAGTCGGGAGCGACCCCTACGGCAAAGACGGATCTGTTCCCGCCGGGGCCGTGGACGATGCTGCTACCGGAGACGGTTGGCCTTGCGATGATGGTGATGGTGGAAATGACAAGGACAAGAAAAAGAAGAAGAAGAAGAAAAAGAAGAAGGACCGTAGCCGACGCCGGCGACGAGATCCGTCATCTTCTCCCTCGTCATCTTCGTCATCAACTTCGACTGCATCGGATGAATCTTTTCGACGAAAGCTACTGAAGCACCTAGGTAATTCGAGCGATCCGACAGCGGAACGCGTTCGTGTAAAGGAGGGTGACAGAATTCAGATTCCCCGATTCCCGAAGCCCGAACAGTACCGTAATTGGAGGATCAAAGTTAGGGATGCTGTTGTTGCTACTTCCGATCAACCCGAAAAGGCATTCGAATGGATTGAGGCAACTTGGATCCCAGGTCAAACTGTTGAAGTCCTTCGTGATTCAGGAATGTTTGTCCATCTTGATGCAAAGCTGGCATCGGCGTTGACGAATATCTTGGAGGGCGACCTCGCGCGGCAAGTGGACATTTTCAAAGAACAAGAAGCAAAGGAGAAACGCTATGCGAGGGGGCGCCAAATTCTTCTGATGGTTCACAAGCACTTCAGCACGAACATCAAACATGGTGCAATTTACGACTTTGAGGACTTGCTCTCTGTCCAGCTCATCAACGAGGACCTCAGAAATTTCATGACGAGATGGGACACGGTCATCGCTGGAATGGGCAATGAGCAAAATGAGAAGACCCTCGAAGCGCTGTTCCACCGCCAGATTCGAAAGTTTCGGCCCCTCAGTCATGATCTCAATGAGTATGAGCGAGCTGAGGAAGGTACGGAAAAGCACTCCTATAAATTCTTGATTGACGCATCGAGGAATTATTTGGAGCGCAAGAGGCTTGTTCACATGCGGGATGCTATGTCAAGCAACACAACGGGGCGTGGCAGGACTCCATCGAACAACCCTGCAGTTCCTGGAATCCCCAAGGGTGTATGCATCAAATTTCAAACTGGCCAGTGCACCTATGGTTCAGACTGCCGATTCGAACATGTTAAGGCACCGAAAGGTAAGGGGAAAGGCAAGAAGGGCGGGTCCAGACCCCAGACGCCAAGGAAGTATCGTTCGCAGAGTCCTCCTGGTTCGAAGCCCCAGGTGTGCAAGTTCTTCAAAGCGAACAGATGTGAGAGGGGGAAAGATTGCCCATGGCAGCACCCCGCAACTTCCAAGGCAGCTCCAGCCCCAAAGGCCGAGAAGACCGCTAGTGGAGACACCCCCAAGACGTCGCCGAGGGACAAGAAAAAGAAAAAGGGGAAGAAGGATAGCAGGCCTTCTTCTCAAGATTCGAAAGATTCAAAGGGTTCTCAGTCCCTCAAGTCTCCGGGATCGTCAAAAGGCAGCAATGCTGCGGTGTGCCTCCTTCAGGCGATGGTGTGCGCCGCGACCCTCGACTCGGTCGCCTCGCATCCTTGCTTGCCTAGTGTGACTCACGATGTTTTCCAGTGTATGCCATGCATCAAGAAATGCGTGCAATTTTCTGATTACCCATCCATTTCGAACTATGAGACTGACGGCGAGCTTTGGCCCTACACTGCCTCGTCAAGAAGGTTTGCACACGAGTTTCCTGTTGATTATGTTCCGAAGTACGATGAGAGAGC